ACAAGTTTTGGTAGTTCAGTCTTTTCAGTCTTTTCTGTGGTTTCTTCATGCCAGGATCAGCCAGTTTTTGAATTACTTTACAAAGAGATTCTCCACAGGAAAATAACAAAGGCACCGAATGAGCTCAAGTAAGATAATATGTCTCATTGCTGCCTCTGGGACATGCATTGCAGTCCTAATCTCATTCTGGAGGGGTTAAGATTAAAAAAGATTCCTGCTGGTGGAACGTCTAATGGCCCTGATAGTTCTGCTCCATCACTGGAAAGTTATTGCTGGTGAGTTGTAGGAAAGTCTAAAATGGAACATTTCAGAGTTACAATAGGAGTCCCCCAACAGGATCGCAGCCTTCGGCTTTGCCAACCTTAAACTGGCACAGCAAGATTCCCCCCCCCCAATTGTTCCAATACGGTGCATTGCAGGAGATATCTTCCTTGCCACACAGTTGTCTGCCCTTCCCAGCAGAAGTTGACAAAATACAGTGTATGGCAGTATTTCTCTTATTCTTAAAAAATAAATCAAGGGATACGGAGAAGGGTTGGAATTTCAGATGTGTCAGATTGGATGTTCATCTAAAACAGTGATTCCTAACCTTGGGTACCCAGACTACAACTACTAGAAACCCTGGCCAGCACACATAGCAGTGAAGGCTTCTGGGAGTTCTAGTCCAAGAACACCTGGAGGCTCAAAGTTGGGAACCACTGATCTAAAACATTTGTTCAGAATTAACACAGGCTTTCATGAGCTTCGGAAGTAGACCACAATATGGGTTGTAATGTCAAAGGAACTAGTATTTAATTATTATCCTGTTGTTGTAGAACTCTACTTTCCTTCTAAGACTGACAGTGAACGAACGGGTAAGGGTGGCAGCATCTGCAAAATGTTTTTATGTAACACTCAGAAATGTAGCATCTTCAGAGCCAGGCATTAAGGGCAGCATTATATATAGGGAAGGGGTAGTCATGGGCCACAGTGTTAATGGGAGAAGCAGAGATGAAACTAACATCACTGGTGGCAATGGGTGGGACGTTCACACCACTGCTGGCCATGGGGAAGGTGACCTTCAGGCATAATCACAAGAGCAGAGGGCAATGCCTCCTCTTCCCTAAACAGCACCCCTACTTTCAAAGTTCAGGGCATGATGTGTGCACGAACATTTCGCCATTTCCATGCAAGAAACACGGCTTCAATGAATATGACTTTGCTCATAAAATATTAGAGCTCTCCTGTATCTTGGCTTCATTTGTTAGCGATCACTTCCACTGAACCACATAATCGCAAGATTTAGTAATCCGTTAATTGCATTTCAGCGAGGAAATGGTTTTTAACCATGGAGATGCATTATTGATGTGAACGGCTGCACTGTAAATCATTGAGTTGCAGATTAGTCTTTTTTGTTCTTTTGGTACGGGGGGTGGGGGAGAACCCTGATCTGTTTAATTTCATTTTTGAAGAATTCATCACTTTCCATTAAAGCAGCAGACTGTTACTGACAAGTCACAGCTGTAGTGATTGCTATTACATTTTGATCCATCTCACATTCTTCATAGTCATTTATAACTTTTAGATGGTGCTTACCTCATAAGGGTATTTTTTAATCTGCCAAGTGCTGTAGATTAGACATGAGGACAAATAAAAAACTGAATCAAAATATATGTTAAAAACCGCAGATTTGTTAAATATTAGTCTGAATTCATGAGTTCCAGAGACCCTGATGAATATGAAGGGACAAATACTGCCCCATTTTTATTCGCCCCCTTGTAGGAAGAGAGGAAAGGCTAGCCTTCCCTCTCTGCCTATGGGCCTGCTGATCAGCTGGTGGGTCCATAGGCAGGCAGGCAGCTCTGCAGCTTACAGAAATATTAAGATGGGAAAAAGACATTTTGTCTCACTCTTGGCTGGGCTGCGAGGAATCTTGTGGGAACTGAAAGTTCCTGTCAAGCTTTGTGTCCTGTCAAGACTGACTAAATAGAGGAGAATGCTCAGTTTTTTCCGTCCTTAGTTCCAAAGTCATTCCCCCTCCTGTTTATTTGTTTATTTAAAATATATTTAACCCACCTTTTTTCCCTTAAAAAGGACCCAAGGAAGCGCACAACAATTAAAAACTAACAACAGTGAGGATGCAATACTAAAAGGATCAATTAATACAGTACCAAAAAACCATAAATGATACCAAAAACACTCAATGCAATGTAAGGTACAACGATCCATTTTTAAAACCCCGCTTGGCAGCCATTCACTCAGGAAAAGCTCATCTGAAGAGAAAGTTCTGCTTGCAGAAGGACAGTAAAGCTGATACCAGTCTAACCTCCTGTGGAAGGGAGTTCCAAAGTCTGGGAGCTGCAAAAGAGAAGATCCTCTCCCATGTCCCCACCAAATGCACCTGTGAATGTGGTGGGACCAAGAGGAAGGCCTTTCCTGATGATCTTAGTACTCGAACAGGCTCATAAAGGGAGATGCAGTCCTTGAGATAGCTTGGGCCCAAGCCATTTAGGGCTTACTGTAAACACAGACACCCTGTGTTTATAGTTGCCTAAAGCACTGCCTTATCCCAGCACAGGAATGGAAAGGGAGCCTCTGAAGAAAGGTGAAGTCACCTTCTATTTCCGATCTTTGAGATGCGACACGGGGTGGAGGGGGAAATATCTTCCCACTTGGAGGGATAACATTCAGCCTTTCATTGAGAGTTGGATCCATACCATTAAGACATTATGGTTTCTATTCTGGACTCTGGTCAATAATTAAAGGATGGCCAGACAAGACTGCTGTATTTATTATCACTCAGGATAATAGTTTTCTGTGGAAATAAAATGAATTCCATTAAGTTTAAATTAGAGTCTGTTGATAAGGGCAGTAGAAAAAGGATTCATTAGCTGAAAGGATTTGCAAGCTTTTAAATCATGGGAGGGGAACTCCCATGAAACTGCGGAGGAAAGATTAACTGGACAGAGAAACATTTTATTTCATTAGTTCCACTGCCATATTCTGGTACTGTTAGAATAAACAATGCATTTTCGTTTTCAGAGTTTTATTTGCAACCACACATGCTGCCTGTGGTTTGTGTGATTGGGAGGGAGTTTTCTGGCTGGAGTGACTGCCTGTCTACCCAGCACTAGCCAATTGTTCCTTCCAGCCTTTGATTTCAAAGAGAGCCCCGCCTCTCTGTTGAGTGTTCTTTTCACCTATCTTTCCTTTGCTGGCAGTTGTTTGTTTGCTATTGATCTCTTCTGTTGGTTGCTAAGCATGCATGCAGAAAAAAGCAGCATACTGAAGTCTGCAATTTCAAGGAACTGTAAATGTGTTTTATTCTTTCTCCTGCAAATGTCTCAGAGTGAGTTATTAACGAAGAGAGCCCCGCCTCTCTGTTGAGTGTTCTTTTCACCTATCTTTCCTTTGCTGGCAGTTGTTTGTTTGCTATTGATCTCTTCTGTTGGTTGCTAAGCATGCATGCAGAAAAAAGCAGCATACTGAAGTCTGCAATTTCAAGGAACTGTAAATGTGTTTTATTCTTTCTCCTGCAAATGTCTCAGAGTGAGTTATTGACGCTTTATGTGCCAGTTAATGAGAATGGGGTGGACTCTGGGAAACTTGTAGCTATTCTCCTCTGTGAGTCTCTGTACTTCTACTGCATAGCAAAATTAACTGTGTGCTAGAAAATCAAAACTCTGTGACATTATCTTCATGCATGTGATTTATTTTTTTAAAATGCTACTATAATACATCTGAAGTCCAATCCTTCATGAGTTTACTACGCCTTAAGAAAAACAGCTTAGTTAAGAACCATTGCTATTTGTGGCAGTGAGTCCTATAAGCAAATTGTCAGAGGTTGAGGAAGTTCCTTTTTTTCATATTACAACTGGCCAGGCTGCCTAGGGCATTCAGGGAGCTGCAATCCAGAAAGCTATTTTCCTAACTTATACTAATAAACATGTATTGTGTAGAATACGGAAATGTTCATCACATGTCAAACAGAAAAAGAAATATGGTTTGTTTCCTTTTCCACCTCCTGTGCAGCCATAGTTGTTGATGTACATGCATACACTTATACAAACAGTAAAACCCTATACAGTGGTGCCTCGCTAGATAGTTACCCCACACGACAGTTTTTTCGCTAGACATTGACTTTTTGCAATTGCTATAGTGATTCGCAAAACAGTGATTCCTACGGGGGAATTTCACTGGACAATGTTTGATCCCTGCTTTGCAAACCGATTTTCGCTAGATGATGATTTTGACAGCTTCCTCCGTGCTCACAAAACAGGTGTTTGCGGGACCTAAGCTTCGCAAGACAGCGATTTAAACAGCTGATCAGCAGTTCGCAAAGCCGCTTTCCTATGGCCGATCTTTGCTAGACAACAACGATTCTTCCCCATTGGAACACATTAAACAGGTTTCAATGCATTCCTAGGGGGAAATGCTTTTCGCTAGACAATGATTTCGCTAAACAGTGATTTCAGTGGAACGGATTATCATCATCTAGCGAGGCACCACTGTACTCTAAATTTAGGGATACTTTTGGCCAATGTTTACAAGATTACATGAACAAGGATTTGGACTTTTTTGGTGGTTGCTCCTCAGCTCTGGAATGAATTGCCATCTGAAACCTGCCTCACCCCTTTCCTGCCAGTTTTCAAAGAAACATTAAAAACTCTTGTACTCTGGCACGGCTTGCCAACACATCTTACCTGAGGAGACCCCTGTATCTGCCAGCTATAAACTTGTTCTAACTGCCACCTGCCTCCTATTCTTAAATTGTATTTAATTACACTGTTAATTTTGTATTTACTTTAATTTTTGGTTTGTTGCTTTCATGTGTGACTATAGTTATTTCTCTGTGTTATTATAGTTATTTTTATTGCTGTAAATTGCCCTGAATGGCTTCTGGCCAGGTGGGCACTATAGAAATAAAACAAACAAACAAACAAAATATGAAGCAGAAATGGCTGTATGGAATCCTTAAACCTTCAGACCAGAACTTTCTTTAAAAAAAATTGCACACCTACCTGCTGATGTTTGCACAATATCAGAGGTATTTCTGAGACCCATGAAATCAAATTGATAGAGCCTCCAAGATTTCTGGTCTGCAGCTTCTACTGAGTTTTTCCTCCATCGGTAAATCATTTCTTCTTGAGGATAGCCATCTGTAAATTAAAAGTGTTTATCAAACACTTGGTACATCTTTGGTATTGTTCAACTTTGACATTAGTTCACATTCACAGTTTTAATGTGAGTTGGTGGAATAAAATTTAATAGCTCAGGGAAAAAAGTTTTAATGGCTCTTCAACATTACTGGCTATATACTGTATATTTCTAAGTCATATGTCAAAATCCATAGTACGTATGCTGGTGTAGAGGAGAATAGTTTTTTTTTAAAATTCTGGTAAGGAAGGCATTTTGAAGGAAACTGGCTTCCAATGATACCACAGCTGGCTGAATAGCTCAGAGGTTTAAGTATCTGACTGCAGAGCCAGAAACTGGGAGTTCGATTCCCCCATTGTTCCTCTCGGGAGAACAGGCAGCCTATGTAGCCTTGGGCAAACTGCACAGTCTCAGGATGCCTCCAGAAGAAGGTAGTGGTAAGCCACTTCTGAATACTCTTTACCTGGAAAGGCTCTCCATAAGTCAGAATTGACTTGATGAAAGATGGTTATTATGACACCGGAGTTGCCATTTGAATTTGTTATGATAGCTCAGGAATGCTAGGGGGCTCCCATGAACCTCCTAGTGAAGTTATCATAGAAATATCTTATTTCATTAGTCCCATCAATATATTCTGGGGCTGTTAGAATAAACAATGAATTATCTTCGTGTCTGCTATTTATTTATTTTTGATTATTTTTCTTCTGGATTTGGCTTTGAATGTATGAGCTGATGAACTAGTTTTTTTCTTATGTAGAACCAAAGTATTATTATATATCACACATCTTATTTTTCAGCATTTCACAGGAGAGACAAAATTAGGAG